GAACAAGTATTGGACATAATCGAATCAGGGCCTTCCAGGGGTACTCAGAGCACAATAACTGACACTTTCCCAAGCACCAAGTAAATACCGAGGAAAGGAGTTTGTACGATACACACAGCACAAGGAGATACAAATGGAGCACGAGTTAATTAACTGAATACGAGAAGCTGCTCGATAAGAGTGGATAATAAGGAGATTACACAGGCACTAGCTTGTTTGGAGTTAACCATTCAAATGTTTGGTGTTGTATGGATTATTTATGTAAACACAAAACCCCGCAGAATTCGAGGTTATGAGAACACGTTGACATTTCGTCAACAAATCTTGTTGAATTTACCGTTTATCCTTGTCTATCTTATTGTCAGTCTGTATAATTCCATGGTTACCGAAGTTTTAAATAATTACGAAGCAACAGGTATTTGCGCAATGTTAGTTAGGTAGATTACCTTGAAAAACATTGCTGCCGTATTTCTGATATAGTTTTTTGCAAATTTCTCAGTTTTTAATAACAATTAATTTATTTTACTATTTTTTGTGTACTCCTATAACTGCGCCAGACAACACCTCTAGAGGAATGACGCCAATTTTGAATCACTCTGTATATCTATTCTGTTAAGAATGTTATTAGAGCATCAAATTATCGAAAACTTCAAAAGCGTTTTCCTCATTTGGTAAATTTTGCGCTTGGGCCACTTTGGATCTCATAGGCTTATATATGTATGTAGGTTCTTCATTGTTCAGACTTTTGTTAAAAGTGCTAAATGAATCGCAGAATTTGCACTCAAATTTATCCATACTAATTCGGTCAACATGAACTTTCAAGTGCGTTGCCATACATTCCGTTTATTTCCAGATGCATAGTCACAGTCAGAGTATTTGTACAGCTCCAAAGTTGCGCTGTTCAAATATAAAAAATCACACGGCAATGCAAATGTCGCAGGTCGTGGATTATTTTTAAACGAGAAAAGAAACTTGGCCATAGGAGTACAGTCTACTGCAAGTTTCGACACGAAAACTTTGTTTTCTCGCTTGTATCGCGAATAATGTGAGGGGGAAACAACGGGCAAAAACAGTTTTAATCTCTGGAACAGTTTAGTTCTGTCATTCAATTTATTTAGTATGTTTTGTCACATAATTGTCCCTTGTAAGTGGATTCCAATATCACCTACAAATTTATAGTTTTGGTAAGTTTCTGATTTAAGTATCGTTTATTAATAAGTTTCCGAAAGTTTATTCAATTTTCCTGATTCTGTCAACAAAGCAATCGACGTGATTTATATTTAGGTTAGCAGATATTTCCAGTTCGACGTACTTTTTCAATGGGCACAATAGAATATGATTCCTTGTATTATCTTCATTGTTAAATTTTTATCTAAAAATACAGGGTGATTCACGGTCGATGGCGTATTAGACGTGTCAGGAGAACGCGATGTACGATCTATCTGCAAATTTGTACGACGAAGTCAACGGATATGCTCTATCGGCCTAAAATATTTTCAGCCACGCGCGCGTTCCGCTTATACCGAAAAGTACATACAAGTTTGATATTTTAAATGAGACACCCTGTATATTATCACACCTTTAGATTGAGTATATAGATATGATTATTTTTGCATAACGATTCCTATAGCTATCTAAAGCGGGTTCCGAAATATTAAATAAAATTCTTTATTTTTAATCAAAACCTAGCCTCAAGGAATTTTATAATACAACGCGATTTCGACCCCTGGAAATTTAAAATTTTGGTACTGGGTTCGGAAATCCCTATGCTTGAGGCCGGCGTACAGCAATTTGTTACGAATTATACAGGATGTCTTGAAAATACTGACCTTTTGGATAGAGATAAAAACTGCTCCAATTACATTTTTTCAAATAGAACACCCTGTATATTAGTACAAATATGGGAAGACCGTGAAATTCCCTGTGAAACGATATATCATGTTTCTATAACTAAAGCGTCAAATTTCCGAAATAAATGGACATTTTTTCAAAAATTTGATCGATTTGATGTAATTTGGACAGCTGAAGCCAAATTTTCCTGGGATGGCATTTTAAATTGACGAAATAAACATTTCTGGGCGGATTATAATCCACACGTGGTTCATCAAATGATATTTCAACAAAGATTGAGCATCAATATTTTTTGCCTCATAAAGGATAATCAAATAAAGTTTCACCTTTATGAAGAATCGATAAATTCATCCAAGGACCTCCAAATTCTAAGGACAGTGGTAAGGGGTACCGCACATGTTGGTTCCAACTGGATGGAGCACCGTCTCATTGCACTCAGGAGGTAACCAGGGAGCTCTTCGAAATGTTTGATGACCGCTGGTTCAGAGGTTTGGAGCCATGGGACTGGCCTGCGAGATCTCCCGATCTTACGGCACCGGATTTTTTCTTGTGGGGTAAATTAAAAGAAAATGTTTACAAGACCCCGTTCAACCACATAGGGGAATTGCGGCGTGGAATCATTCACTACATTGGAGAACTGGATGTTGATGAGATAGAGAGAGCCACAAACCACTCTGTAAATGTACGAATTTTGAAGTGCTTGAAAAGCAATGGCCGTCATTTTGCAAATTTATCGTAAATAGTTTTAAAGTTTTTATTAGGCACCTTTTGTAATTCTCAGTTATGAGTTTGCTTACATGTTTCAATCCAGTTTTATATCGTAAATAATTAAATTGTCTTATATTCGCACAAACTCCTTTGCATTCATTGGCTTTAAATTAGGAAACATTTCGTTGAATTTTTTGCATATCCTTGCAACAATTTGGTCCCATTGTCCGTGAAGAATAAATATGTAGGTTCATTAAAACTTCGTTTGAATAATTGCTTTTCTCCATTTTTTATAACAAGCGTACACAAGCGCTGTATCTAGAACTAAGCTGACAGCTGGTTTGAAGAATTGCAAAATCTTGAAATATTATGACATTTCATTGCTATTTTGATAAATACGTCGACATAATCGAATTTTTGCAAAATTGTCCATTTATTTCGGAAATTTGACGCTTTAGGTATTGTTTTGCACACCTTTATGCTTTAGTGCGCTGAGGATTACTGCTTGCCGTTTTATTTCGTTTTTCATAGATGATTGATTAGATGATTACTGATTTATTAATTTCTATTTATTGATTATTATTAGATTGACAACTTCACTTTTCCATTGTTACACACCAAAARCACCAGCACAAAMATAATGATAGGACGCCGAACTGACACGTTCATAAATGTTCTATCCGCGCCAACAGGTATAGAAACATGATGTATCGTTTCACAGAAAATTTAACGGTCGGTCTTCCCGTATTTGGACCAATAAAGAGGGTGTTATATTTGAAAACATGTAATTGGAGCAGTTTTTATCTCTAATAGCCTAAAGGTGTAATAATATACAGGGTGTCTCATTTAAAATATCAAAGTTGTATGCACTTTTCGGTATAAGCGGCACCGTCGCATTGCTGAAAGTATTTTAGGCCGATAGAGCAAATCGGTGACTTCGTTGTACAAATTTGCAGATAGATCGGGCATCGCATTCTCCTTAAACGTCTAATACGCCATCTACCGTGAATCACTTTGTATATTCTTGCTATTCAAACCAAAAAATTGGTAAAATTGGTGCAAGTAGTTTTGATCAGTTCAAACATTGAAATATTTGTGCATAAGATTTATTACATAGATAAAATACAGATTTTAAAAATTTTATTATAGCAGATGATATTTTAAAAATACATATTTTGTTACAAAAAAATAGAACATATTGCATAAGCATTAACATAAGCATAATTGAACATACTGCATAATAAATGCAGGATTAAACACTTGACAATATTTGTTAAAATTTTATAAAAATAGTCTTGATTCCAGTTTAGTATTATCTTGATAACGCCAATTTATCAATCTTTGAATTTAGAATTAAAAACTTGGTGTTGGTTGTAGTTTATTGTTTAATGGAAGTTAATTTTATCAGAGTCAAGAATATCATCTAGGAATTTACACATAGTCCAATTATCAAGGGTTTAGCATAGCAAATTACTAATTATGGAGGTTACAATGAACGATTGTAATTATCCCAGTAGCACTATATGTATATACACTATCCGGTTGTATTATCTTGCTATTTGCTTACTTCACTAACCCAACCATGGCATCCATGATATCAACATAGTGATGGTTATATGGTCAGTAATTTTATCCAAGCCATAGAAAGTAAGCTATCCCAATGGTTTTGAAAAGGTATTAAAGCACTTCCGCAAACTTATTTCTCTAAGGATAGGTATTACAAAAGTAAATTATTTTGAATATTTCCCTCGTATGATAATCTGTCCGTTTGAAGTGTGCAATTATCAAAAAATTACAGCGGTAATTGCACAGTGTGCAATTATCACTCAACGATAATTGCATAGTTTACGAAAAATATTTCACAGGTGTCTTTTCATGATGAATTAGACATCAAATGTCTTCCTGACATACCTAAGATATTCAAACTATATTTAATAAACAAAAGTAATACAATTAAAAGTGTAATAAAATATAATAGAAATAAAATGAATCCACATTTACTTTGTTTACGCATGAAATATTCTTCAAAATTACACTCGTGCATCAAAATAAACAGATAATTTTGCATTAGGGCTAGTTGTCTTGTAAAAACTGCATTCGTTTATTTTCACATTGGAGCGAAAAAGCGCTCCTCCTTCGGAGTCGGGCTTTTTCGCCACAATATGAAAATAAACTCATGCAATTTTTAGACAACAAGCTTTCATACAAAATTATCGGTAATTTCAAAGCTCTCGTGGTATTACCCCCGATAATTCTCTATGGCAAGAAATATTTAACGAGATCACTTAAAGAAAAAGTAGTGTCCCTATTAACAGAACAACAAGAAAATCTGCCAGTACAGAATAATGAAGCATTAAAGCTGATGGGGTTTTCGGGTTTTTAGGCCGTCGTTCGGTAGAATTTCTTCTTGACGTTTTGCAAGCACATTTTGAGTGGCACGGTTCTCACGTCATCAAACAGTTGTTTAATGTACTCTTCCCAGGTTTGCTTAATTTCCGACTTCTTTACTATAACTCGGCCTTGGTTATCCTTAAGTACATTAAATGATATTCTTTTAACTGTTCGCGTCATTTTCTTCAGCTTCTTGTGCAGATTAAAGCTATCAAATTTGGTTTGGCATTCTTCGAGTTTCACACATTTTTCCAGTTTCTCTTTTTCCTTAGCTGTTCTTTTTTTCTCCCTTAGTTCTCTCTGTATGTGCATGTATTCTCTCATCTTATTTTTAAACAATCTCTTTTTTTTTTCATCAGTTCCAGTATCTGATCTGTCATCCAAGATTTCTTCATCTGTTTGAGAGACTTTAAGTCCTGTTGTTTGACTTTATGTATACTTCCCTGAACCATTTAAAGGTCTTTTTCTACATCTTCATGGTATTCCTGCTCTTCAGTCTTTGCCAAAAGTTCATTCCTTACCAACTGGTTTGTGGCCTTGTCTTTTAGTCTTCTGAAATGATATAACTCTACATGTTTTTTCTCTACTCGCTTCAGCTTGGTTCCCATTCTTCCTATCAACAGGTTATGATCCGATTGAACATCTGCTCCTGGATAAATTTTTCTGTTCGCATGCTGTTTCTAAATATTTTATTAATGAGTACGAAGTCTATTTGATTCCCAGTTTTTTCATCGTTCGATTTCCACGTGTACTATCTTCTAGAATGGTGTTGAAAGGATGTATTGGTTAGAATCAGATCACGTCCCGCTGCTAATGTACTCAGAGTATCTCCAGGCTCATTTCTCTCGCCCATAGTCTCCAATGTGTTCTCCAGTTCTTCCTTTTCCAAGCTTGGCGTTGAAATCGCCCATAATACTATTTATATCATGCTGTGGCAAGGCTTTGAAGATATCTGATAATTGCTTATAGAACTTGCCTACGTCCTCGCTGCTGTAGTCTGTAGAAGGGGCGTAAATTTGGATGAGATTGCGCAAAGTGGGTAACACCCGTTGTGATTTGTTTGTGCACTATAAAGCCAACACCATGCATCTCATGAATTGTGTTTCACAGCTTTCCAGGCTGTCGCATTATATGCACATTCCATGTAGATACCAAATATCATGGCTTCTAACTTTTCCTGTTATTTACCTCCAACCTCCACTGATAGTAAGCTAGCTTTCTTGAAAGACAGATGGTAAGTATTTTTGTTGAGCTGAAGTTGAGTTTTGATGAAAAGCACAACTTCTGCATTATACCAAGGATTCAGTATTCTACCATCCTGTAGACATTTGTCGAGCAAAGTCTGTAAGGTTGTCTCTATCTTACGT